ATGCTCCTGTCATACCTGTTTTCCCAGCAGTTTGGGAGGCAGAGGCAGGAAGAACGTGAGTTAGAGGACCACCAGAGCTACATGATGAGGTCTTATCTCAGAAACAGAAAAATCAACATAATTAGCTTACCTACAAGTTTTTAAGCCACTTTATTTTATATTTTATTTTTTGGAGATAATAAGATTTGAACTTAGACCCTTGTGCTTGCTGGAGAAGTACTCTATGACTTGAATCAAAGCTCAAGCCATCCCTCCTTCCTTCTTGCCCCATCCTCAGCTTTTGGGTTTGAACTCAGGTTCTTGAGCTTGCTAAGCAAGTAGTCTGCTACTTGAGCTACACTTCCAACTCTAGATTCTCATGATTGTATTGCTCTTTACTGTGTCATGGAACTACTTTTATATAGGCCTCAATAAGAAACATTTGGAATAATTCTACAGTAGTTACAAAGGGTACTTCTGATGCAAAAGCTGTTACTAAGTAACAGTATTCAACAGTATTAAATAGAGCATTCAGATAGACATTAAAGTCAGTTTCACCCTCATACTAATCTGAGTTCTACTACTTACTAACAAACAAGTCTCTGAGTTTCCTCACTTTAAAGCTAACAGTCAGAAGTGCTTCTTAGCATTCTATGAGATTATATACATTTACCAAAAGTTATATACGATATATATATTATGTATATATATACACATATGTGTATATAGAAAAATAACATTTTAGTATTAGCATTGGTTTTCTTTCCTAGGCCAAGGGAGAATATACAAAGGAATTTGAAATTATTGCGGAGTTTACAAGTCTAGTTGGAAAGACTGAACAGTTGCACAGTGGAGTTAATTGCTATAACAAATATATAAAAATAGATGTACTTGGCTGGGCACCAGTGGCTCATGTCTATAATCCTGGCTACTAGGGAGGCTGAGATCTGGATCACAGTTTGAAGCCAACCTGGGCAAGAAAGTCTTTGAGACTCTTACCTCCAATGAAACACCAAAAAACTGGATGTCAATCTGTGGCTCAAGTCATACAACATTAGCCTTGAGCACAAAAACTCAGGTATAGGATCTAAGCCCTGAGTTCAAGACCCAAGACTAGCACACAAAAAAATCTACTTCCTGTATGAGTTCAAGTAAAGGAAGTTCAGGAACCTGCCAGGCACTAGTGGCTCACACCAGTAATCTTAGCTACTCTGGAGGCTGAAATCTGGAGGATCAGGGTTCGAATCCAACACAGGTGGAAAAGTCCATGAGACATCTCCAAAATAATAGAAGATAGCATCCTGGAGATGTAGTTCAAATGACAGAGTGCCAGTTGATGAGTATATTAGGGCCTGAGATCAGACTCCAGTGCTGAAAAAAAAAAGAAGAGCCTAATTAATAATATCTTTTTGATACTGGTGAAGGTTCATGAGGTTGTGTAATAGTATTTTGAAAAATCAAATGCAGTATCTGAGGAAAATGTTTCTAGTATGTTTCTAGTATCTATCCAACACAGTGGGGAAATGTAATTTGCTGTAAAATTGCACGACTTTGAAATGTGATAATTTTTATAATTAAGATCTTAAATCTTTTTGTTGAACCCACCAAAATCAAATATAACAGCCTTTGATCTATCTGTATCACATTATCACTTCAAGTAGAATTCATTCTGTATCGGTGATTCTCAGCCATGAGAATTACAAACTGTCAGCACTTAGGAGGCAGAAGCATCTTGAGTTGGAGACCAGCCAGTAAATAGGCAGAACAACTGTCAGGCTTTAAAAACCCAACCTACATCCTCTAGAATTAGAACTTTGGGATCTTTGTAGTTTTACAAGGCTCACAAATGTTGCTAATAGATAGGGTTGATTCTAAAATCAGAGTTGATACTTCTACATGTAAGCCAACTGATTTGTAGCAAATTTTACAATTTTTTTTAAAGGGACTCTTAATTTGCTAGCTATAGAAAACAGGGAAGTTCATTGAAAACAAAGCAGCTGTAATAACTCTACTATCTATTACCATTGTCTTGATATATTTCCTTTATATAGCTAAAATGAATAACCAAATATTCATTTCCAGAACATATAGAAGATATACATAAAGTCACCTTTTGCTTTTGCCATTAAAGACTTCTTTAAAAAAATTGTGTTTCCATTGTTCTAAAAACAATAATAAATACATATAATAAAAACTAATAAATTATAATTTTTTGAAAAATTATGGAGTGATAACCTCCAAAGATGTTTAAGATCTCTTCTTGTAAAACCTGTACAGTGCACTTTTGTTTTTTATTTTCCCAACATATAATGATGAAAACTTCTGATATAGAAAAGTTGAAATGATAGGGAACACCATTGTACCTTCTTCCTAAATTTAATAGTTGTTAACATTTGCTGTGGTTGCTTTAACTCTGTGTGTATGTGTGTATTTGTATGTGTATGTGTGTACAGTTTTTTAATCTTTTCTAGCTGAAAATCTTTTCCATCCTTTGGAAACAAATGATAGATATCACAATATTTAATCAGCAAACATTTTAGAATGCGGCTTTTAAAAAAGAGGATATTTTCCTCCGTACCCATAATGTCATTACCTAACCTGGGAAAATGAAGAGTAAATTATAGTGAAAACAAACTAATAATCTTATGGCTGGTTTTTCTGTCCTTTAATGAGTAAGTCATTATTGGCAAGATTAAAAAACAAAAAGTAAGTCATTTTTAGGAAATGGTTGTGTTACTTTTGGAATTCTAAAAGCAGAATAAATTTCATATTTGTCTTCAAATGGCATTTGAAATAAGACAAACTAGTTAATCATGATTTGTTAAAAATAACTTTTGAGATATTATAATTAGGAGTTTTAAACTAAGCATTTGATTCAGGTAAGAATTGATATTTAATAAAGTGTTCTCGTGCTTCGATTATTTTCTTATGATAGAAAAATTAGTGTTTTGTGTGATATGTTATGAAATACGTGTGATATCCTAGTTTGTCTACTGACACTGGGGTCTTGAATCTTAAAAAAAGGCCTCCGATGAAGCAGAGGGAAGTGGATCACAGGGAAAATTGGTGGAAGCTCTCAGGCAAATGAGAATTAATCATAGGGGAAACTACCGACAACTTCTGGAGGAGATGCTGACTAGTTACAGGCTAGCTAAAGTAGAGGGAGAAGAGAGCCCGGCTGAACCAGCTGCTGCAGCTACTTCTTCGAACAGTGATGCTGGAAACCCAGTGACAATGCAGGAAAGCCATACTGAATCAGAGAGTGATCTTGCTGAATTAGACAGCTCTAATGAAGATGCAGGGGCAAAGATGAGTGCTGAAAAACTATGACTTTTTTGGTAATATTTTTGTGATCTTTGATTTGATTTTTAATTAGGAAGTATATTGTGTGCATTTATATAACCATTTTGTTATTTGAATCTTGGAAAACTAGTTTTATTATATTCAAAAAGCCTTGTTTTTTAAAAAGGCCTTTGCATATACCTTTATGAGATAGTTTAAAATTGATTATAGTACTTGGAATCTAATGAAATTCTATGTCATTTCACATTGTATGCAAGAAATTAGGCTTCCAGTTTAAAGGCAGTAGATTCATACTAGAAATGACCAGAAATTACTGATTAGAGAAATTACTATACATTGTGGAATAACCTGTTTACTGTAGAAGAATTATACTGCTTCACATCTTATATAATAATAGTACACTCATAGTTAGCTTTGTAATAAATTTGTGTTTTCTTTAATAATTTGTTTTTCAAAGAATAGCTGATGCTAGCCTAAGGTTTTTCTTTCAGGGTTGATAATTTGTGTATTGTTTGATTTGTTTATACTTTACATCTCTGTAGTTTTACTTTTAGAAGTTGTGAGATACTGGATGTGTGGTTATTTTTCATTTTGCTGTATTCTTTATGAAACATAATTTTTGAAAAACTTATGTATTCATACACTCTTGGTTTGTATGTTCTGTATAGCCTAACTACACACACCAAAATGTATGTCAATCAAGTGTTTAGAATGAAATTATAAGTGTTTAAGCCCAAATAAAGCATGTGATGTGGAATAATCGATGCATGTTGTACTTATTTTTTAAACAACCAGGTTTGGGATATTAGAAAACTACCCTTTAGAAATAGATATATATTTATGTTAAATTTAGCACACTTTTGGCTTAGCATTTTTTTCACTAACAGAAAGGGAAAGTTTAATATTCATTATTTACTCAAAGTAATCTTGTTATCCTCTTGGTGGTACAAAATACTCATTTTCTTACATATCACATCAGTAGATATGTAAGAAAATTTTCACATCAAGAGTTCAACGATTGCCAGGCACTGGTGACTCATGCCTGTAGTCCTAGCTACTCAGGATGCTGAGATCTGAGGATCGAGGTTCAAAGCCAACCCAGGCAGGAAAGTCTTACTCTTATCTCCAGTAAACCACCAGAAAACTGGAAGTGGCACTGTGGCTCAAGTGGTAGAGCGCTAGCCTTGAGCTGAAGAGTTGAGGGACAGTGCCCAGGCCCAGAGTTTAAGCCCCACGACCAACAACAACAACAAAAAAGTTCAACGATTGCAACATTATTAATTTTGCTACAAGTAATAAGTATAAGATTTATTGTTTTAAGCAATTAGTTTTTTACTAGAGAACTTTAACTTTTCTGTTTATATTTTGTATCCTATGTTTAAAGTTGCATAAGATATAATAATTTGAAACTTGGGAATCTTCAGATGCTGTAGCTGATGTTTGAATATATTTTTTCAATGTCAGAATATTTTGAAGTGTTTTGTGAAAGGAAAGCATTTGGTGGAGAGGGGAGAGAAAAACCCAATCAATTATCTGTCCCTGTTAGATAGGTACGTGGTTATACACAAAAAATACATTACACACATCTCTCTGTGAGTACCTTTTCAGACAAAGGAAGGTAATTTGTTCATCTAATTATGTTTTCTTTTGAAATTCAATCCAACTTACAAGTGGAATAGGTAAATAATAATAATATTCTTCCTTTTCTCTTCCTGTAGGGTGCTGGAGATCTAGAAGACTCATGGTAGCCTTATAAACCTTCTAAAATGCTTTTGATTCTGAAAATTTGGGGAAAAACTTTTAATCACAATTTTCTTCAATCCAAGGGGAAAATATTCTGTGGATTCCCAACGTTTTATGATATGAGCAGAAAATCATTAGCATTTCCCGTCACTTGTTCATATCTGTGTTTTTGGTAATTGCCACTCGTAGCATTGCCTGCACCTACAGTATTGTTTGCTAACCTCAGGCACACTGGTTAAACCTGTATTGAACTTTTGGCCCTAAAAACCAATGGAATTCTTTTACCACAAATCAACATGTGCCTGAGGTGCATGAGAATATAGTTAGCTACACTCTGACAATAACATTATGGTTTTTATTTTATTTTATTTTTTGTTTTTTTTACAAAAAAACAGAACAACACAACATATTAGCATGTAAAAGTAAACAATTGTATGATGTGTTCCTTTTTTAATTCAACAAGTTGGAAGCCTTTTGCAATTCTATGACTTGGAATTTCATTTGAGCAATTTGCTATAGGATATGTATTTATTACTAATTGTTATTTAATTTTTCCCCCTACCTGTATTACCAAATTGGGTTTTCCAATAATGTCCAAATTGTAATGTTGCCTTGCTTAAAGATAAAGTAAATGTATTTGGCAATAATATAAACCCTTAGAAATTTTATGCATGTGTCTACTACATACTTCAGTTCCTTCTAGAAAATCTTTTGAAACCAAATGGGTTAATTTATGGCTATTTATAATTTGCTTTGACATCTCCCTGCTGAGAATTCTTTTAAATGATGAGATTTGACTTTATAATGTAAATTGTGATTTTTGTTTTTCATGTGGGTTTCTATAGTTTTAATTTTTTCAGCTTTTAAGATACAGCAAGTTTTATGTAATTTGGTATAATTTTTAACTATTTATGTTATTTTAAAAGCTCAGAATATCACACTGAAGTTACTATAAATACATTTAAAATAATCTATTTTAGATCTAAGGAAATATTACAGAGATATTTTCATGGGCTCAATAACCTTTCATTTTATAACATTGGGCACGGTACAGAGTGGCTGTCACATAAGGTACTTGAAGATAATTTAGTTTAATTCTATTTTTACAATAACCTTGAATTCTTGAACTCTCCTGGGTGTTGCATGTGTTAAGTCCAGTTAATGCTGAACATGGAAGAGTAAAGTATTTAAAAGAAGTTAAGGGATAGGAAAAGTTATGAATGTATCCATTTGTACATGATTTACATGTTGTGGATGCTTTGTAAACATTTTCATATATGTTTAAATTGTGTTTCAGCAGGTTGTAATTGCCCTTGTGCGTAGTTAAAATGAGTCATCACCTGGTCCTGTGTGAAATGGAATACATGGTATTTTCTGTAACATTTTCCTGAAGCTGTTCTGGAGAGCCACACTTTTGAATACAGACAGCTTTCCTGATCACTTGATTTATTGTGCACCTGATTTTTGGTCTAAAAGGAATTACTGCCACAATATATTTTATTTATTCTTTAGATTTTAGCTTTGTAAGTTAAAGTACTTTACATGATGGTGTTAAAAGCTATTTGTCCCTTTCCCTGGTTTGAAGGGTTGTTAAAAGATAGGGAATGAGGAATGCAAATGGTTTATTGTTCAAGCTGTCCACTCTGATCCAACCCTGTACTGAGTACTGATAGTACCTTTCCAGTATGATATTGTGATGTTTCATACAATGCAGTGAACATAACCAACTTATTACCTAAATAAAAAGATGATTTTAAAAACAGTGTGACATATTACTATTCAGTTGTGCTTATGAAAAATAAAACTTTTAAATGCTGTTTTTAAATATTGTTAACATACTTGTGAAAATTGCATACAAAACAATGTAGATGAGTTTTAACTCGAGAAATTAACTAAACCACATAGGAAAATACTAGCTGGCCTGTTTGATACTCCATAAATAATTTTTATACTATGGTGGGTGTCCTTTGTTTCAGGGGGGTTCATGGCCCTTGAAATACAAGTAGTATATAAATCGGCAAAAGAAAAAGCCATATTTGATGTTTACTCACTGAATTTTTCTCATCTGCCTGTCCACATACATTTTTATTTCACATTTTACTTATACTCTGAAATTTTTAATATCTCAAAGAACTTTTACTTTTCTGTGTAATAACTAATATGTACTGCATTCAGAATTCAAAACAACTTTTACATGTCATTATGAACCCACTACATGTTAACACAGGTAACACTGGTGTATCAAAATAATTGTCCATGTCTGTCTAAAAAAGTTGTGAAAATGTGCTAGGTTTTATTTTTGTAAACCCTTTAAATGTTGGGCTACATTCTCAGATTTGCTTTGTGTTCAGTAAGTTGGAATGCCACACATTTAGTTGGAAGTATGTGAAGAAATCTAACTTTACCCAGATATGTACACCGAAAATAGTATTTTAATAACATTAGTTAATGTGGATATTAAAACTTGAAAATTGATTGGCTGGATTGTGACATCTGAAGCCTTATCAAAGGACTCTATACCCTGTTAACATGAGCATATTTGGGTGATTTTTATCTTGTACATTGATTGAATCTGCTCATCCATCATTTTTGTAATGTCATGAGTTGGTGATTAGAAAACTGGTTCGCTGAATTATGAAATTCTTGGGAGTATTGACCCATTATTACACAGTGATTAAAATTTCTTTGTTAATGTAACTGATCTAAAAATCTTAAATATTATGAAGTTGGGAAGTTTATGGTGATGAAAATTCTGATTTTGAGAGCTGAAATTTTATTACTGCCAGCAAATACTGTTAGCTGTTTTCCTTAAGTGACAGTTTGACTTCACTGATTTTAGAAGAAATGTCTCTTGAATAATCATAGTCTATATCAGCCATTGAAGTTAACATTGGTTGTTTATGAAAAGTGGCTAGTTCAGTACACAGCTAAAAGTAATAGCTCAAGAGACAATTAATTCATTACACTTGGATATGTTTTAGAAGCAGAATTAACCACTTCATCAAACAGGATATCATATGTGGATTTAGTGGTATTTTGTTGGTGTTTACTTTAAAAGACAAGATTTCAGTACATAGCCAAGTTTGATTATGTAGCCAGATTTAACTGTGTAATTAAAACTGGCCTTAAACTTTCGTGCTGGGATGATAGGCATACAGATGCCACTGTTTCCTGATAGAAGTTTAATAAAACTTATTTTCTATTGTTTCATCAAGATCATTGTTAAGCCAGGCACTGGTGGCTCACACCTGTAATCCTAGCTACTCAGGAGTCTGAGAGCTGAGGATCACTGTTCAAAGTCAGCCCCGGCGAAGAAAGTCTATGAGACTTCTTATCTCTAATTAACCAACAGAAATCCAGAAGTGGTGCTGTAGAGCGCTTGCCTTGAGCTGAAGAGCTGAGGGACAGCACCTAGACCCAGAGTTATTGTTGACTGAATTGGCTTTTTTTTCTTCTTGTGGCAGTGATGAAACAATAATTATTTTGATTCTACTGTCCTGATTTGTGTGTGTTAGGCATCTGCAGTTTGCCCACTGTTTCTTTTGCATTATCAGTCCAAGTTTCAATATGCTAAGATACGTTATTAGGAAAATTGTTTTCATGAACCCCTCAGGATTCTTTCAAGACCCCCAGAGTTTGACATCTGTTGCCTTAGTCTTTTTGGATAGCTTTCTATTGGCTTCCTATCACATATAATAGTGAGTCTTAATACATACAGAGGTGATTTAAAAGTTATGTCTGGATAATACTATAATACTAGAACTTTGAAAACAATATAAACAAGATGGAATCATTTAGATTTGGGAAACTTTTAACTTATGGTTAAGCTTTACAATAGAGCTTCATATATGTATTTTATGCCTTCTTCATATTGCATATGTGTATCTATATTCAGGGCAGTTTTCATCTTTGAAATTGAGTTTTGTGCTTTGTGGATTTGTGTCCTTTGGGCAGCACTCTATCGAATGTTTCAGTTCACTTACCACAACTGAAATGTTGCCACAGGCTGGCCAGTAGGCTTATGACTTGTTTTTTGTGACAATGAAGTGGGTCCGATTTTATTTTTTTGTTATTTCCATTTTCAAAATGAGATTTCAACAGTGTTGAGCACAGATTCCATGGCAGTATCAACAAAAATTAAAGTTCTTGTAATGGTAAGTCTGGAGCATTGCAATGTTTACTAACATCTTAACTGAGCTTTATTTTCAAATTGTGAGATTTATTTGGGTTTTACTGTCTTTTTATAGTTCAAATCAGCCTTATGAAATTAGCTATGTAGATGATTAGCCCTCATAAGAAACAAACTTTAAGAATAATGAAGGGGGTATAGTGTTAAGTATAGTACATAAATGCAGACTCTTTTACATGTCAAATTGCACATTTTCTAAGATTTTTTTTTAATACCGTAGTAAAGGAGAAACAATCTATTCAATAAATGCTTCAAAGCTTCTGCACCAGTAGTCAATGAATCTGACTACAGTTTATTACCTAGAATTCTACTTCAGAATTTCTTAGGAATCGCACTCATTGATACAAAATTATTTGAAAAGGATGGCAATGCATACCCTTCAAGATTCATTTTTTTTCTATTTGGAATTAAAAATGGTTTGTTAATAACAAAGTAACCATTTGAAGAAAATAACAATATTAGTACAACATTTGAGCTGGAAATGGGAAAACCTTACTAGTTCCCATTGTCAAGTATCTGGAATACTGGATGGAATGAGACTAGGTATGAACAAATAAGTATTATGGCACAAATCAAGTTTTTTTCTTTTTTATTAAATGTTGTTTTGGGTTTGTTTTGTTTTTTTTTTTTTTACAATTTTATAATGAAAGTGTTGTACAGAGGGGTACCATTTCATAAGTAAGGCAGTGAGCACACTTTTTTTTTTTTTTTGGTCAGTTGTGTGGTTTGGACTTAGGCCTGGGTGCTGTCCCTGAGCTCTTATTGCTCAAGGCTAGCATTCTACCACTTTGATCCACAGGTCTGCTTCTGGTTTTCTGGTGGTTTTTTTGGAGATAAGAAAGTCACAGACTTTTCCTACCCAGTTTGGCTTTTTGAACCATTAGCCTCATGAGTAGCTAGTATAACTAGTAGTTAGTCGGGAGCCAACAGCACCTGGCTTGCTTTTGTTTTGGTTTTTTTTTTTTTGCCAATGTCACCCCTTTTGCTTTCCCTCACTTTCCCACTCACATCCTTGCCCACAAGTTATATAGGTCATTTTCCACATAGGGTATACTGGGTAGCATGATTTGTATACCCTTCCCTCCCCACCAGTCACGTTTTTGTTTGCAAATTATAAATTAGTGACACAAATGTATTTTCTTTGTGTGTGTGTGTGTGTGTGTGTGTGTGTGTGTGTGTGTTCACACAGAGGCTTGAACTCAGGCCTTGAGTGCTATTGCTGGTCTTTTTTGCTCTATCATTGAGCCACAGCTCCACTTCTGGGTATTCTGGTGATTAGAGCTGAGTCTCAGGCTTTCCTGCTGGACCTGCTTTAAACCATGATCCTCAGTTCTCAACCATCTAGCTAGGATTACAGGCATGAACCACTAGTATCCAGCTTTCACATGTATTTTCGAAAATCTGGGAGGTACATACAGAGTAATACTTGTTTCATGAGTCTTTATACAGCTGTCATTGAAATTGACCTGAAGATGTCTTGGCTAGGGGTGTGGCTCAGGTGGTAGAGCACCTGCCTTGCAAGCACAAGGCTTTCAACTGAGTTCAAGCCCAATACCCTCCCCCCCAAAAAAAAATCTGGACAATGTATTATCACATTTATTTTTATTTTTGAAAAGATGCCTCAAATCCACATTTTTCTCTTGTAAATTACTGTATTTTGCAATTAAATTGATTTTAACTATTATTTCATTTTATACCCATATATATATATGTGTATATATATATGTATATATATATATATATATATATATATCCAGAAGTTAGGCTTTCCTAATTGAGGAATGAGGGTCCTTAATTTCAGAGCTGGGAGTTATGAAGCTGACTAACCCCAACTCTAGTGTATCGCAGAAGAGCCTCTGTACATGTAGCCTCAATGGTTTGAATTGCTTGTTTTTCCCTTGACTAATATACACTTTGTCTGTGGAACATAGTGGTGTTTTCAGTGATTGCTTCTTAACAATTGTATCTTTTTAGTTCTTTCCAGATCACATTCATCTATACTATACCTAGGGATGCATTTGGGAAGAGGACTGGTATTATTCATGAATCTCTTACCCACTTTCCTTCTCTTGAGTTTTCACTTATTTTTACTGTGTGTTTGCTATGAAGTGATTTTGTTTCATCTGTAACTTGAAACTGAAGCATTTAATGACAAAATTCCACATTAACATGGATTTAATAAATATTTTGCTAGTAAATTGATGCAGCATAGAACTTATTTTAATGCCTGCTATGAAAATTGACCTCAAACAGGACATCATTTTTACAGCACTAGGTTTCATTCTTAGGGGTAAAAGTTACTTAGGAGCCTATAAACCTTTTCACAAGACTTCATGTTTAAAAGCCCTTATACACAAAAGGAAACAGCTGGTTCATCAGATAATTTAAGGTCTTCCCAGAGTGTTAGTTCCTACAGGAAATCAGCAAGTTACTAGCGTACCACTTCTCTCAACTTACAGAGGAATTCTGCTGTTACTACTTTCCTGTTTTTTATTTGTTTGGTTGTTGTTAGGTTTCTATCTGAGATTTTTTTTGAAAAATATTTTTTAGAAGCTTTTGAAAGCTAGGTGCTGTTG